AAAAAAAAAAAAAAGAGCAGCTGCTGAGGCTGCCTGCTTATGTACAACCAAACACCTCAGGGACTTGGTTCCTTGGTTTGGAGGTTGAGGGTCATGGTTTCATGGAACACCCCAGTTAACTGGTCTAATAACATGTTCAGTGTTTCTGTTCTACCTCCTAGTTTGCTGCATAGTGCCCAGGATATTAAAAGCTTGCCAGTGGCCATCCAAAGCACAACAATTGGGAAAACTGTGGAACAAGGAGAGTCAGGAACAGGAGGAGGACACGGAATGTGTAGCTAATTGGCTCCAGTCAGAGATCAGAAGAATTGGGTGGTGCCTGGCTACCAACACTGAACATTTTGATCAAAGATTCCACAGAAGAATCTTGATCAAAATGGAGACAGAACTTCAAATTCTCAGAGTCTAGACTTTCTAGAGCCATGTAGGGTGGAATAACCCCTACTGCCCTGAGATAATCTTTAACCTTCACTCAAAACTATTCCTTGAAGTCTTCTTAAAACCAAACAACTGTTCAGCTTAACTGCTGTAGAAGGTCTGCCTTGAGTACTGTGGTCTTTAAAAATTATCTATGTGGGATCAAAGTGACAGCAGCTACTCAGAAGATTAGACAGGGACCTTAGGAGGAGTGAGTTTATGTTCATGAGGGAAGAATGACTCAGAAATGGAGGATGAGAACGGACGCACAACTCACAGAATATCATCACTGTCGCTGAGTTGTTCACATAGAAACCGTTGAATTGGTGTGTGTTTTGCTGTGTATATTGTCAACAGCAACAACATAAATCAAATTTAAAGAAAAAACCACTGCCACTGAGTCGATCCCAACTCACAGTGACCCCACAGGACAGAGCAGGACTGCCCCACAAGGTTTCTGAGACTGTAATCTTTATAAACGCTGACTGCCTCATCTCTCTCCTACTGAGGCACTGTTGGGTTTGAACTACTGACCTTCCAGGAAGCAGCTGAGCCTTAACCAGTGCTCCACCAGGGGTTCCAAGACTTAAAACTTACTGCTTATGAAATACGTACTGCTCACAAGAGACTGTACCTTAGGCTTATAAAAGTCAGCAGGATATAGTCTAAAGCCTCATCATGATCAGCGGATTGTAAGATGTGACAGGAGGCTTTCTCCTGGAAGCTGTTTTATGTTGACATGGAAGGCGGGATGTTCCAGGAAACAGCAGAGACGTGGTTGGACTCCTGCAGGTCTGCCACATCCATCCGCTCAGACTCACGTTCCTGAGACCGTGCAGGGCCTGCACCAACCCTCAACAGGACAGACTCAGGTTCTTTCACAAGGGCGGCTCTCCCACCAACTGTCTTTATGAATATTCTACCAAGCCAGAGAGAAAGACTGCCAGAGAAGGGGAAGGAAAATTCTGGGTCCCCGCCTCAGTTCCAACATGACTGACGGTCACTGCTCTGCTCAACATGGAATTCCTCAAAATTCTTGTTGCCTCGGCAGTCACCAAACTTTTTAACAAGCAACGGAGCACTCTGCTCAGAAACATCCCTGCCTGTTGGACCCAGTATACAACCAGTAAAAGCAGCTGTCGGGACTAGAGGCTGGGGCATCAGCCCTGGCCTGGACCCCACACGGGCCTGAGGCGAGGCGCCAGCTCTTGGTGTGGGCATATCCACCTACCGCTCCTGTTGGCCAAGAGGCCACACCTCATGTTGTGTAGAGCAGCACTGAAGTAGCTCAGCAGTCCCGCTCAGGCTGCCCGGAGCACCACCCAGACTCAGCCTGGGTCGCCATTTGCTCAGAGACTCTCTGCCACAGCACTGCCACCACACACGGGGGCTGCGACCCTCTCCCACAGCACTGCCACGGCACACGGGGGCTGCGACCCTCTTCCACAGCGCTGTCAAGGAACACAGAGGCCGAAACCCTCCGCCACAGTGCTGCCACGGCACACGGGGGCTGCAACCCTCTCCCACAGCACTGCCACGGCACACGGGGGCTGCGACCCTCTCTCATAGCGCTGTCAAGGAACACGGGGCTGAGACCCTCTCCCACAGTGCTGCCATGGCACACGGGGGCTGCGACCCTCTCCCACAGCACTGCCATGGCACACGGGGGCTGCGACCCTCTCCCACAGTGCTGTCAAGGAACACGGGGCTGAGACCCTCTCCCACAGTGCTGCCATGGCACACGGGGGCTGCGACCCTCTCCCACAGTGCTGTCAAGGAACACGGAGGCCGAGACCCTCCGCCACAGTGCTACCACAGGACACAGTGACAGTGAACACTCATGGGCCCACAGCACCTCAGACGCGGGGGCCATGTCCTGCTCCTGTTGTTGTCCAATGTATCTGGGGCCCGTACCAGCCACACTGTGGGTGCAGGCCTGGGTGACACCTTGGCTCATTGGAGGATCATGAGGAACCTCGTGGTGGCTCATGGGCTCAGTATTCCAGGGGAGGGGGAGACTGAAGCCAAGATTCCCACTGACATTTTTTCAGGCTTTCCCATCTGTTCCTTCATTTGACCATTACAAAAGCCCTAGGACTCGACAGGAACTAATTCACGTCCTGTAGCAGGGGAGGAAGCAGATGACAGACAGCTTAGGTGACCTGTGCATGGCGGAGCCAGGGCCATTGCACATGTGTCTCCTCACACCCCGCTGCTCTGTGAGCATGGAAAGCCCCTGCCATCCAGCTGACTCCGACTCACAGTGCCCCCCGAGGAGAGCAGAACTCCTCACAGGGTTTCCAAGGCCGCCATCTTTACAAAGGAAACTGCCTCATCTTTCTCCCCATTAGTGGCTGGTGGGTTCAAACCACTGACCTTTTGGCTAGCAGCTGAATGCTTAACCACTATATTCCTTAAACACTTTACCAGGACTCCTTAAAGCCTATTAATAAAATAATTGATAATTTTCAAGGTTATGACATTTTCTGCCAAATTACTTCCCCCAAAGGTCTAACACACATTGCTACCAGCAACGAACGAAAACACTTGACTGGATTCAGTAAAATAATCAGTATTTCTCTATTACCATTTTTTGCTAGTAAGTGAAAAATACTCGTTGGGCTAATTTTGCATTTTTATGGTGAAATGCTTTTCTACCATGTGATTAGTGATGAGTTGAGCTTCATCTTTTGAGCAATTGCTCATTCATGTCCATGACCCATTTCTCAATTGGTGCTTCATGTGGATTTCAAACAAATTTGTATGAAAACTTTATATAATTCGTTAGGTCACCGTTTACCACACCGATGGGAAACATGGTTCCACCCATCCACGCTTCCTCTACAATTCTGTTCTCATTTTCACCTGACGGTTCTATTGTTCTTTTCCTTTGTGACTCTTTAAGAGTCTTTGAAGCCTCCGCCTGTCCCCGTCCCCACGTTCCTTGGCATCTGGGGCTCAGTACTGTACACCCCCAGTGAGAAGGCTTACCTGCTGGTCATCAGGAGTCCATATGCCACACGTGATCTGGCTCTCCAAGTTGATCTCAGACGACCAGTGCCTTTGTCCACTGACAGAACCAACCAGGACAAATCCATCTCGATAGGAAATGAGCGCTTGGGTCCCGTCGTGGCTCCACGTAAAATCACTCACCTTTGGGGGACACACAGAGAAGAGGTCAATTTGTCATCTGGAAGGGAAAGCACTTTTATCAAAGGCTAGACACAGGAATGCTCTTCAGAAGCAAGACTGGCGAGGCTCTGGTTCGCTTACTCGGAGGCACTCGTTCGTGCATGTGCTCAGTGGAGAGCCTCCGTACGTACGCCACGCAGTCGGTTTGGCTGTAGTCTTTAGAAGCTGCTTGCCAGACCTGGGTCTTCTGCTGTACCACGGGGTGGGGTCACACAGGCAACCTTTCGGCTACTAGCTCAGTGCAGAGTGTCTACGTGGCCCAGGCACCTTTCTGGCCCACTTACTTGATATATTTAGCTACTTTCCCTCCCCTTCCCCCCATCCATGGCGACCAACAAAGAAAAACCTTTCCTTGACTTTCTATAATGACCAAAACATCAAACCCACTGTCATCAAGTCAATTCCAACTCGTAGTGACCCCCACTGGGTTTCCAAGGCTGTAAACGTTTACAGAAGTAGACTGCCTCATTTTCCTCCGTGGAGCGGCTGGTAGGTTTGAACCACTGCCCTTCTGGTTAGCATTCAAATGCCTTACCCACAATGCCACCAGTGCTCCTTTTTACAGCAGACTCATACGGTATTTATCCTTCTGTGATTGACTTATTTCACTCAGCATAATGTCCTCCATGTTCATCCACACTATGAGGTGATTTAATGTTGCACAGTATTCCATTCTGTGTTATGCACCACAGTTTGGTTATCCATTCACCTGTTTGACATGTCCTCAGGAAAGACCAATCGTTAGACAAGAACATCCTGGTTGGTAAAGTAGAGGGTCAGAGAAACAGGAAAACCCCGATGAGATGAACCGACACAACAGCCACAACCCAAACTCACACACACCAACAATTGTGAAGATGGCGCAGGGCCGAGCAGAGCTCTGCTCGGTCACACATAAGGGAGCAACTTGACAGCAACTAACAATAGCTACAGGTCATTAACTTAGCCTTTAGGTTAGATCGAGATGGTCTTAGAACAGGATAAAGGCATTATGTGAAAACCTGTAAGAAAAATGACCAAGGACAAGACTTGCATAGTGTATACTACATGGCAGCACCGTCATATTGCTTCACATGTGTCAACTCACTGAGCCTCCTAACCATCTTCTGAGGGAGGCGTTGCTATTCCCACTTTACAAAGAACACGAGGCACAGTGGGAGTGAGGAATTACCCACGGTCGAACCCAGGGCTGTGTGGCTCTGTGCTGGCTCCTGACCTGGGTTACAATGCCCCTCAGGTTAGAGCAGACTTTCCATCACTGTTTGCTCATCACTTACCAAAACAGTAAAGCTCAGTAACACCAAATAGGATGAAGTGAACACAGCCTCACCAAGGTAAACAATGGCACCAAGATGTACACAAGAAACAAGGACGTTTTGGTAATGCTACAACGCATATAACTCTGTGACAGCAGCAACAACTAAAACATTTTTGTGGGTATATGAGTATGCATTTATGCATGTACATGTATATGTATGCAAATGTGTGTATATGAGTGTATGTATGGATACATATATATGTATATGCATGCATGCACACATGTTTAGAATTAAGCACACTGGGCGCACAGTTATGGACCACACACTTCAGAGGATTGGTTTACTGGATTTGAAGGCTTAGGACCATAGTCTAGTGGGAAAACTCGGTCAACTGGCAAAATAAACTTCATGAAGTCTACATCCCAGGTTGATGAGCGGTGTTTGGGATCTTAAAGGCTTCCAAGAAGCCATTTAAGATACAACTATTGACCTCTACTCATCTGGAGCAAAAGAGAAAGAAGGAAATCCAAGACTCTTAGAAAAAAGCAGCCTACAGGACCGTCTACATGAACCAGAGACTAGACCAGAGGAACTAGATGGTACCCAGCTACCACCACCAAACTTTCTGGTCAGGGGCA